TAGGCTCCCGGCACAGCAGTGCATCACACAAGGGAATGTTCACTATCGTGTTGCGGAAGACGGCACGCAAGAGCATCTACCACCGCCGCGTGCATTTGCGCACCCAAAGAAGTGCCCTGTCCAGTGAACCAGAGAAGAGACTGAATGCTCCCCTTCCCCATTCTTCCATGGGCCCCCACAATTGTCTCCATTTGTCCCTGCAGACTTTTGGCTCAGAGTGAGAGAAATAGCTTGACAGCTCTTCTCTTGTATCACACCAGCCGGACTTAGCCTACACACATTGGTGTGAAGACAAACTGCAAGTCGAACTAGCCATGCAGGCGCATCCAGAACCGTTGTTTCTGGCAGATGATGGTACGTATGTCGATGTCACTGATTTTGTTCGTTTTGAGCTCCACCATCAGGACATTCGATATGGGGTCTTAGACCTCATTGTAACCTTCGTCTATCGGGGGAGAAGGGAGCGGTGCTACTTACTTCATTTTTTCCCGGTGGATGCAGTCAAAGAAAACGTAAACACTCCTTTCCCAGAATGGACGGAGGGGTTTGAATTTCCGCCAGCCCTGCTCAAACTTCGGGCAGTCGTGGACGATGCCATCATCCCGCTCTATCACCAGGGCTGTATTGCAATCAACACCAGGGGGGGCCACAATCTATGGAACAAAGCGAACTAGGCTTCGCAGGATGATTCTGCACATACAGCATCACGAAAGCCACCTCCTCACTGTGCTGGCAGAAGCGGTGAGCGCTAGGCCCATTGCTGAGAACGTAGACCCTTTTGACATCTTCCTGCAAACACGCCCCTTTTCAGCCTCCCTTCCTCGGCGAGTAGGCTTTTGGTCCACTACCGACAGACAACAACAGCATGTCCTTCGAGTAGACACGCAACTAGCTGCGCAACCACCCCCACAGCGTCACACAGACCGTGCGCACCACCAGATCGAATCAGCCCTACATGCAAGAGTGCAAGGTCTGCATGCATTGGTACAGGAAATTGAACAAACAGTGGACTCTTTGCCTCACGACGTGCAGGGTGCTCTTCTTACTCCCCTGACTGACCTACATACCCAGCTGTGTGGCCTGGTTTACGTAGCATGGTTAATTTCTCTATTACACCCACATGCTGATGACCACGATCAGTGGTGACAGGGCCCCTGATATGCCCCTGAAACAATCTAAAGTCTTCTTTCCTTTGCTGTATAGTTTGAACAGGTGTCCCCGGCACTATGCTAAATACAGTTGATCCTTTACGAAAGCACCTTGCTGCAACGTTTGGCTCACAGCAGGTCGTAGTGCCCTGCATGCAGGAGTGAGGTCAGCCTTAGCTGACATCGTTCGTGTTGCCTTTCGTGTGCTTGTGCCGCCAGGGCACCTGCCAACCTTAGTTGGCGGGGGCTATACCTGCATTGTCAAGCAGAGAAACTCTAATGTCACATGACCCGTGGATGGAAGACAGCAATTCACTGGACCTAACGGATAATACAGAGAACAGAGTCCATGTTCCCTTTGTCTTCACACGTGACCATGCAGATTGGTTGACCACTGATGGACAAGCCTGCTTTGCCAGGGGCACGGGGGCTAGTGTGGCGCAGTCCCAGAATGAAGCTTATGCAGCACTGACTATGAAAGACACTCTTAGCAGTCCTTTCGGTCTTGACTCCGCTCGGCCTACACTTGGCCTGACTGACGTTCGCGCGCAGCCATCCAAAAAGGACGAGGGGTATGCTGCTCTCGAAACAGAGGGAGAGCTGCCTGATACTACTGCCATTATTCAGACACTCATCTCCATCTCACACCGAGACCTGATCATGAACAATCACATGATTTAAAAGGGATTTCTTTGCAACCGGGTTGTCAAAATGAACCGGGTTGCTAAAAATCTGAGCTCAGATACATGATTGGACATGATGGGAGGGTGGTGAATTTTTTGGGCCAACATCTGTCCTCAACTACATGATGATGGTCAGGTGATGATTTTTGCCAAATATGGCCCCAACCACATGATGGGACAGCTGTGATCTTTGCCAACATCTGGCCTTAACTTCACTAATTATGGTTCGTTCAAGGGCCATTTATGGGCCCAATTTTTTTGATTTGAATTTGGCCCATTGCCCAGTCAGATGGATGTCTTTTGAATAGAATTATCACATTGTTCTCGATCTGGACATTGGCGGGCGATGTTTTTGGACCTTTGACCAATGTCACTTGAGGCTACAGGGGTGTCATCATTCTCAATGAACCAATAATGTGACATCATGAGTTTAGCACTTGTTAGGCTCTGGAGCCAGTCATTCCCAGTTTTGGCTCTAATTTAACAGCATCAACCGAGGTTATCCTTCGCGCTCCCATTTTCTTGTGCTTTTTGTCAGGGGCACAACCATTGAAATTTTTGGTTATAGCCCAGTGGTCGATCGTGCCTTCACTTTCGCAATGCACAACAGCTCCGCTCACACCACAGCTCCGCTTCCCAAAAACAGACTCCATTTTCAAGGGCCTCACCCTCTCTTTCTCCCAAGTCATAGTCACTGGTTTTCACAAAAAGCAGCCCACAGGCTAGGGTCAGGGTCCGGCAGCAGGGACTGGCAGCCCAATAACTGTATAATATACGTGTTTCCTCACTGTAATCATACATGCCTTCATTCAAAAAGCACCCTTCGTGAAACACAAACCTGGCAACAACTTCGCATTTTCGTGTTCTTTGGAAGTGGCACACACAAACACCAACTCACACACACAAAGCATACTACACGCTCAGTTCCATCAATCTTTTTTCAAGCTCTCACACCACCAGGCCAGTGGTTAGTTGCGATCAAGTCAATCCACGTTTTCAACAGCACGCGGCTCAGCCGGCACTTCAGGGTCAATGGCCTGAGGGATCTCTTCCTCTGCCCCTTCACCCATGTCTTCATTAGTGTTTTCAACACTTACTCCACCTTCAACGCCAGCGGATTCATCAGCTACTTGGCTCTCAGATGCCTCCCCAGACACAGGTCCACTGGTGCCTGAGCACGCTGCACCACTGCTGAAAAATCATGAAAAAATCACCAACTCACCTGAGCCATGACTTTCCTTCTGCAACTCCGAGTACATGGTCGCCTCATTTGATACTGTTGGTGTTCCAGGATCGTTGAAAAGGATCCATGTTTTGAGTTCCCCACAACAACTTGCTTCGCAAAGTCAACTGAGTCTCCTTTCAACAGGTGCTGACGGCCCACTTCCTCAACAGTCGGTTTGCACGAGACAATGCAATAATGAACGTTTATTAAGCGCAGGACTGCAATCTCTTTGACACGTTCCAGCGGGACACCTATGCCCCCCACCTCGCGACTGTAAGATCAAACAATACGTCTCAAGAAAGCTCTTGTGTTTGAGACCCTGGCAGTGAAGACCTCACTCCCATTCAACTTCACTCCGTACTTCTGGCTGACCCCACGCTGGGTATTCCGTGTGTACAAGTAAGGAGGAGAAACCTTCAGCTCAGGGTCGCCTGCGACGCTAAGAATACTAAGACTAGAGCTTGAAACGGACACTGCTGCACATCATTGCCAAATTAACACAAAGCCTTCTTCACGACCAGTTGTGACAGTGTCAGCTGCTGCCGTTGCTGGCTTCTTGTTGGCAAACACCTTTGTTCCACCATTTGCGGATGGACGCTTGAGGGCTGGCTTTCGGGGGGGCAGGTGTGGTTTCTTCAGCTTTTGGAGTGGGCGCTTCGGGCTGTTCCTCATCAGCTGAAGTGGAGGCTTTCACCTTGGGCGTTGGTTTCAATTTCGGTAGTGTTTTCTTTGGCTCAGCTTTCGGGCCTGCCTTGGTCTTGGGTTCAGCTGTCGGTTTCGGTTCGGGCTTTGCTTTGGGTTTGGGTTTCGGCTCGGCTTTGGCTTTCGGTGTTGTCTTGTGCTTCGGGTTGGCTTTCGCTTTGGGCTTGGAATCACCGCCGCTAGGCAAGGCCTGCCCAATGTGAATTAGATCTGGGTTTTCAATCCCGAAGCCAATCGTTTACTCCGTTCATCACAAAGCAAACACTAACCACTTGCAGCAAACAAGCAATCACCAGTGTCCAAAGAAGTGACTGCCTCAGGGTCTGCTTCTTCATCGGAAAGCTGTGTCACTGGCCGAAACAGGTTCGCCATCGTCCAAGGCAAGCCTTCTAAAACTGAGAGCTCAAATCCCGCTGCAATCCAAGGGCGCACTACTGCTGGCCATTCCACGGTAGTTACTACCAACTTTCTGACACCAACTTCTTTTCAACAATCTGGTAGCCATCCTATAAAAACAATCGACTGCGGTTGCGATGTTCTTCCATTTATCCGAACTGCCAGCCAGTGTATTGATCAGTCAAAATCAGGCCGCATATTGCAAGAACTAGATCTTGGCCCATGTGCCAGGCCCCAGGGTCAAATTCCCTGTCAAAAAAAGCTTCGGCTTCACACCATAGATCTTCGGCGCCCCTGATCCAGTGGCAAGTTGCACCTCCGCCAACAAACATCAGACGCAACCTGTTTAAGACACATGACAAAAAGGGTAGTATGCTGCAGCACTGAGGTACCTCCCACACGAGGCCAGCTCCAGCAACCACATTTGGGATAGCATCCATGTGCCCCAACCACGAAGCTCCAAAGGAGCTGTGCCTCACCCCAATGAGATCAATGAAGTCGAGCTCTATTGCTATGAGACTCTTATTGCGCGACTCAAGGGTTGGCCCGCCTTGCAGACTCAGCAGCGACTGCGTGAGGCTTGAACACTTGGCATTTCCCGTTTCTTGCTGGAGATAGCCCATAGCGGTAAGGAACTGGAATGGCATCTTTTCCTTCAGCTGCCTGCAAGCGATCAGGACACAGCATCGCCCGGGCCAAAGGATGCACGGAACAAGAACTAACAGTGAAAAATACACAGAAAAAACGGCGCCGAAGGCTTGACCTCTGCCGGACCCACTGAGATTGGAAACGCAAAGCAAAGCCCAGGCAGTCTGTTGTCAAATCATTTCCACAAAATGCCATGGATTAGCCTGAAAGGACTTGTTGCAACCTTGTCACTGGGTACATCTTTTGAGAGATCTGGTGGCAAGCAAGCTCAAAATCAGCTACTCCGTGCACTGTGCAAATCTGATGAGCAAAGTCGGCCAGAGACATCAATTTCTTCTCGTAGCAGACAAGGCAAAGATCGCTGGGAAACCGAAAAGGGATGCCTGAGAGCTCCTTCTCACCCATGCCTCAGTCATGACAGACTGACAGAGGTACACAGAATTGGCGCACATCATAGTAAGACAATTCTGTAGAGCTGAAAGTTGGCAAATCAAAACACTACTGCTGCACCTGAAACCACCTTCTCCTCAAACGTTCCAAGGTTGAAGCCAGCAATCTCAGAGGGTGCAAAAGTCGTCTCCTCGTCCGTCTCATTGCCAACCCACAGAGCGTAGTTGGTGTCAAGCACCAAAGACGGTTTTCCTTTGGCAGCTGCCACATACACCTTCCTGGAGCGAAATGCAGGACAGGTCCACACACGAAAAACAAAAAAAGAGTCAGCTCTATTCAACTCTTAACCATTGTTGGGGACGCTGCCAGGCAAAAGAAAAGCTGAAGGCGCCTCGCCTCTCCGCACTGAAGGAGCTCTTGGGAGTAATGGTCTTGTCCAGTGCTCGGGTAAAGTCCAAGGGCCTCCCTCCGCCGTCGATAGTGTAGTCAGGCCTGCCCGTCGCTCGTGGGTTCCCGCCTCTTCCTGTTCCTGGGGAGCCCTGGACCTGTGCATTGGGGAACATGGTGAGAAGCTCCTTCTGCATGTCGTGGATGCTTTTGTGCCCCGCTGATCCTTCAGAAAATTTGCTGAGCAATTGTTCTGGAAAGGCTGGTTGACCGTTGGACCAGCTCAGCAGCACCAGATCTGGGTCAGCCACTGTCTCCACTGGCCTTGATTTGGGCGGCGCAGCATCCGACTGGTCCCAGAAGTTGTACACGAGGTCCTCCAATGCCTCCTTGACATCTTTTTGATCGTCACGCAAGCAGCCATAGTAGAAGACAGGTGGGCGGCCTGCATTGGAATCCAATAGGCGCCCCAACACAGCACGGCCGAACTCGCAGTACCTGCACTCAGGAACCTAAACCACAGTCACCAATTCAATGCAGTGCACCATGGAATGTATTGATTGAAATCTGACACCAAGCCCTCTAATCATCTACGCTTCGCTTTCCTGCCTGTTCGGCAAGATGTCCACCCATACCACCACATCCTTGTCCCCAAACGCCATCCCGCGCAGGTAGTTCTGCACAATTTGCAAGTGCGCTGGCACGCCTTTCCTCATTTTCACATGCTTGATGAAAGAGCAGCCCACAATCCCCCGTCCCGCTAACCCCATCCCACCTCTGAAGCCTCCAACCCGGACAAAGACATGGGATAAAATGTTGAAGAGCAATCGCCCAAATTACAGCCAAGAAACTGCTCAGTTCTTGCTGCTGGCCCTGGCCTGCAATCCGGGTCATACCCAAACATGTCCGTGCAGCGAATCAGGGGGCACGGTCCAATCGTGCCAGATTCCGGAACTGCACTGCTGCGCCACGCATTAGATGTGTGAGCCTCTGCCGTCACAAAGTGGCATGGATGCGTTGACTTCCTTTTATCTTTCTCAGTCGTCACATTGGATCTGTCAAAGATCAACGCCACCTCCATCGTTGGGTCAAGCTTGGCCTCAAGCATGAAGTACTGCAAACGGTTTCGGTGTTTCAACACCGCAGTGTTGGCAGTCTGCTGCTGAGCTAGCGGTAATTGCAAGTGCCCAGCATTCTGAGATGACATTGCCAGGATTGAGCGGAATGTTTGCAAGCAGTTCTCGAGGTAGGCGCTATTAGAAGGCCATACACAGCAATCCAGGCTCGCCATCACGAACCTGGCTAATAATGAACAATGAGCCCAAAAATCAAGGCAGTACAACAATCACAGCGCTTCTCAGGCGCTTGAAACACAGCGGCCAGCATGAAAACAACTGTCCCCGCCATGCAGCTGAGAAACACTTTCTCAACAGAGTCGTCTGCAGACAACTGCGAGAGATACTTGGCAACTTCCGGAAACGAGTCCTTCCCATCCCCCACGAAGTTCAACTTGCATTTCTTGTCCATGAAGTCCTTCGTGTACTGCTGCCCCTTCCTGGCGGTCCATGCGTTCGCCATACGTTCAACTCACTGCGTGTTACCCCTCAGATTTAAAACTGTTGGGCTCGCATTGTTCTTCAAATTTTAAACTTTGCTTAAGTCTCACGCTAAGATTCGATTGCCGTTGAGCAAGATACTTGGCATCTTTCGCAGCTTCCAACGCGAGCTCATCGCGGCATTGGGTTCTTGCTTTCAATGTGTCGACATCTTGGTTGAACTTGTGGCGGATCTGTTCCACTGTAGCAGCCGCCACACGTTCCGCCAACTCCCGCTCCTTCTCGTGCATTTCGTTCTGCTTCCGCTGCTCCACAGAGGTCACGATGTTCCTACTACCAGTCAGTGCAAAAGACACATTTGCGCCCAGGAGGACAAGGCAAAAAACACTCACAAAAACACGCACAAAAAGTGCAATTGTGACAAAGAATTAATTGAACTCTGGGTCAGCCAAATCCCGCTCCTCACAAAATTGACCTCCGCCAGCTGGACAGGAGGGACGCCGTTTTCCAGGAACGCTACAATATCTGGGTCCAAGTAGCCCAAACTGAATTGTTCCTGCAATGTGGTGACAGCTGTGTCATAGTCAGCCTTCGGGATGTTTTTCCGCAAAGTCTCCAAGATTGTGATGAAGCCCCCGCATGATGCGTGGACTTGGAGAGCATCTTTGAACACCCATGGTTTCTTTAGGCCAGGAGGAAGTCGGTCCCAATCTTTCTTCAGTCGTTCGATGAACATTTTCACCTTCATACCCAACAAATTGACATATACAAATCAGAAAGCGGCTTTGGTTGGAACACAAAGTTCAAAACACGCTCTTCACTTTTGAGGGCAACCAAGTGGCCAAACAGTCGTCGGCATCATTCGTCAGTTCAACCGACCAAGCAGCGAAAGCGCCCGTCCCTGATGACCAACTCGTATTGAAGGCCTCCTTGGCGATCACTTCATGGGTCAGCCATTGCCGCATCCCGCGGCATCGACTGGCCTCCTTCAGCTCTGCGACCACTGGCTTGGAGATCCTCTCAATGAGATGACTCACTGCGGTAGACTCTGCCCGTCCTATGTTGAAGGCCCGTGCAACCTGGGTTGCGCTGTCCCAGTCCTGCACAAAGCTCGGTCATGTGTTTATTTTTTGTTGTGAACTCCGTGACCAACACACAAACTGGTCAATGCGAGCCACAAATAGATGTTTCACATGCTTCTGTGCTCCAACTTATATCTGGTGAGTCAAAGCCAGGAAAGTTCAGCAGTGGCCTTGAAGTTGCTGCCTGCGTCACCAGCTTTTGTTAGCACCTCCATCTGGCGGAGGAAATTGAAGCAATTAGGAGCCCGCCGGGTTGCCACATGTGCCATGGTGATTCCTACACAGCACGATCGCTCCGGCGACAAGTGCAAACAACCAAATGACTAACCGGCAGGTTAGGATGCACAACGATTGAGAAACATATGCGCAATGAACGCCAGTCCTCGAGATGCGTAGACTGCTTCCCTTGTGGTGGAGAACCGCCCCACATTTGCATAGACAGCTTTGAGGGATCCCTGTCAAACTTTGACCAAGATGGACGCCGCAAGAATATCAACTCCCCCCCATCAAAGCATTGCAATAGAAACATGTATTGAACTTCACAACACACCACTGCCTTAAAAGCCTCCGTCAAATCCTCCAGGTCTATGCCAAGGACTCTCACCCCCCTCACAGCAAATCAGCATTGCCAATGAACGCCGCCAACCTTTGACATACGCCACCGCAAAAGGGCGGATGGACTCCTCACCTCATGAACTGCCAAACGCAGCTTACTGCAAGCAACTAGCTGTAGCTTTACTTTCAACTCCGCTGCTCATGTGATTTCATACCAACACAGCGTATTCTCTCAGGTAAGTGCAGCTTTCAGTATTCAATGGCGGAAGGGGGGGTGTACTTGCTCTCCAAGTAGGCCGGATTTGGCGGCCACACACTCAACTTCTCAACTCCGGGCTCGTCGGCGTTTGTCCGGAACCTTCAAATCAAACAAGCCAAAGAATGAAAACACAAAACTCCCAGTGCATAAAAGGAACCCTTGTACAAGGATCATTTGCATCAGTGTAATCATGTCTTCCGGATCCGACATCCCGGGTAGCCCAAAATCGGTTCTAAATCCCAACTGCCACAAGCGCAAAGTCTTGGGGCCCGGGTCGAGGTTTGTGCTGTAGGTCACCCTGCCAACGGTTCAATGAACATTTCAAAAAACCATCAAATTTTTGCAGGTTGCATTACACATCGGTGTGATGAGAGCTAGCAGGTGCACAATCAGAAGCAATCATGTTTATTAAACATTCACTGAAAGCAAGCCTTGCCTTGAAGATGCTGGAAATGAATCATCCAGCCAACGCGCAAACCCGGATTGTTCGGCCTGAAAGTCTCCAATAGATTGCACCAAAATAAAACCACACAACATGAAAGGCCACAGTATTGCAATCACTGTCATAACGAAAACTCTTCCCCTCCAGCCTTGGTGCTGTACTTGTTCATCAAATACCGGTCAGGCCCGCCCTGTGGAGCCACGATTGAAGCAAACCTACGGTAGAGGCACCATGGCCCACCAACGGGACACTAGAAGACAAATGTTCAATCATTTCAAAATGATTCAGCAAAAATGAAACCTGTCAGGCAAGGAACCAATCCGTGATGCGTTTCACATGTGGTATGTCTGGAGCTTCCGGCACTGCGTGTTTCACTTTCTTGCGGCCAGCGCCACTTCCGCTAGAGACACGCTTGCCCATCACGGACAACCGCAATTGCCAGTCAGTGCAGCTGGCTTGACATTTTGAGTCAAAGGGGAAACGCAAACCCGTTCAAAGGAGTCAGAGACACATGGATCAGGATTGAAAAAAGAATCGGAAAACGCACACCTCGCTTGCTAAAACGCACAAAGAGCAAGTCAAGTGAGCCCGTTTTCTATCTTGGCTGGACCCAATCCAAGCTTGGACACAAGCTTGCAAGGAAGCTTGACGTCAGCACCTCGAATAGAATAGCGCTGAGGGAACTCGCTATCAACTTGATGTAATAAGCTTCTGGCGCCGAAGAAATAGCCTTCAGATGCCTTCAGCAACAGTTCATCAGACAAAAGAAAGACAAACAAACTGCAAGGAAAAGGACAAACGCCGACTTATCTCACCTTACTTGAATCTGGCGCTGTTTTTCTCCTTTGTTTGGCAACCATTCCAAAAAGTCTTTAGTGCACAACTTGCCGCTTCAAGACTATTGCCCTTTGCGCATGGTCGTCACGGCGTTTTCGAACTGAATCCTCACTATGTTGCTGTACAGATCTTGAAAAAAACCACGTGAGGATTGAAACAGGCAGTGCAAAAGGGGGGTGGTTTCATGATCGCACAAATCCAGCCCTGCTTGACAAGCAGATTCAGCAGCAAAGATCTTCTTCTCAAACTGAAGCGCATCCTCTACCCAGAGATTTGTCGTGTGCACAGCGACATCCCGAACCATGCCCCAAAACACGTTGGCGATCACATCCCTTGAATCGGAATCGGTTTCACCCAGACAGCCCAAAACCCTCTAAATGAAAACCCCTTAAATTTAGAACCTCTAATTAAGGTGAAAACCTTCTAATTAAGGTCTTTTCAATAGACCTTAATTAGAGGGTTTTCAAGGGTATGTTTTTCTACATAACAACTATAGTTTTCTTGTTGATAATGACTCATAGGAGCTCCTTGTGTCATGTCAGGAGCTCCTTGCAGTGAGCTGTGCAAGTTTGTGTGGAATTTGTGTTTGGCCAGGCCAAGGAATACATGTTGCAGCCTTTTCTTTCCCAAGCTTTAGGCCAGCTGTGTGTCACCATGTCTGGCCAAGGGAAACTTGGCAGAGCATCCACTTCCTGCAGCCAGGAAGATGTCAACAAGCTCCTAAGGGAGAGGGAGATGGCTACAAAGACACGAACTTTGCCATGGTGGTAGCTTCCTATGAGAGTTTTTTGCTGGCCTTGCTGTCAAAGACACCCAGGGTCAACAGAACTCTTTTGCAGACTGCTGTCTTGAAGACCTTTGAGGGCACCAGTGTGGATGAAGCGAAATATTTTAGCAGGCAACTGGCTTCTGCTTTGGTTGAATGCAGAAGTAAAAAAAGAGCACCACCAGTGGTGCCAAAACCCATCCTGCTGTCAAAAGGGTGATGGATGCCATGTCTAAATGGGATCACCTGGAGCCTTCCAGTCACCAAGTTGCTGCTCCCAAGCGTTCATTCTCCCAAGCTTCTTTGCCTGTGGCAGCGGCTGCTCAGTCTGCCAGCAGCAGCAAAGCTGAAGCTAGCAGCAGTAGCAAAGTGAATCCCTGTGAGCTTTATGGAGTGAGCCCACCTTCCAAAAGGAGAGCCATGAAATCCCAAGTGTTTGCAGTGGATTATTCTTCTCAGGAGGGGAATGCCCCTCCTGTTGCAGACATGAAAGTAGCTCCTGAACACGAGAATGGAGACACTGCTGCTGTGCTTTTGCAATTCTTCGACCAGGAGAAGGGTGTCATGAAGAGGCAGCTAGCCAATGGTGAGACATTGGAAGCCCAATGTGTTCCTGGGGACAAAGGCTTTTTGCTGTACCAATTTGGCAATGAGGAGCAGTGTGAGTCAGATACTCCCAACCTGGCATTGCACATTGTTTCCAAACCGATGAAAAGGCCAGCCTCTGCAGCTTTGAAGAAGCCTGCAGCATCCTTGGCCCTGGACGAGCCTGAGGCAGTTGCAGAACCTGCAGCCTCTGTGTCAAATGAGGTGCACCTGTATCTTGATAGTCAAAAGCTGCAGTGATGCTTATCAAAATGCAGAATGTCTGTTTGCAATGAAAAGTCTTTGGCAGCTACCAAAATCTTTGGCAGAGAATGCACTAATGAAGAAACCAAGAAAAAGCTGTTGGAAATGATATTTGAAATGCACTGTTTCCAAAAGGAATGTAGTGCACAATCCTCAAACCTTGTGTTGTTCACCTAAAATCTTATCAAACTAGCTCATGGCCACAAACATGTATATATTTAACTTCATTTAACTTCATTTAACTTGGAAAATGAAAGCATTTCCAATTAAATTGCGAAAACCAGCCCAAGTTAAATTAACTTCATTTAACTTGGCCATTTAGTTGCAAATGCTTTCATTTTCCAAGTTAAATTAACTTCATTTAACTTACCATAAGTTAAATTAACTTCATTTAACTTACCAAAATGAAAGCATTTCCAATTAAATGTCTAAGTTAAATGAAGTTAAATGGACCAAGTTAAATGAAGTTAAATGAAGTTAAATGGTTGGTCTTTGTAGAAGCCCTAAATTATTTATATACCTCCTAATCCCAGGAGGTTTTTTTAACATATCAACCATTGATTATTGACCTCCTAGTTCAGGAGGTATTATTTTTTGTAGCTCCTGCCCACCAAGGAGCTTTATCATCCATCACCACCCAGCACAGCAAAGCAACACCTTTTTTTCAAGCTGAGATGGCTTTGGAAGATATGTGAGAAGATATTCAGTTCTCAGTATCTTTGGCCCCAGGCTCTGGCTTGGGCTCCTCATTGGGAGATTCCTCAACCTCATTGGCAGCCTCATTGGGAGCTTCAGGGGGGACGCCCCCCCCCATTGGGAACTTCTGCGGTGGCAGCAGCAGCTGGTGCAGGCACTTCTTCCGGTTTTGGCACAGCAGGAGAAGGGCCACCACCTCCTATGCATACATGAGCATTGACCATGAATATCTTATTTACCATAAACCTAGTGATTCATATTTTATTTCTCTATGTATGACCTTTAGCCTCTGTCTTTGTCCTGTTGTCAGAGAAGCTGCCTGGGAACAATGTGGACCAGAGGTGCAAAGCTTTGCATGTCAGCATGAAGAACTACTACAAGGAGTATGCCATTGATTCCCAAATGCCTTTGCTGAAGGCTTCCATGCTTTACAAAGACAAGAAAAAGTCTTCCAGTTCTACTTCTCCTAAGTTGAGAGCCAAAGCAGGAGAGGCAAAAGGCTTGATTTTGTTTTCTTTGTTGCAATGCACAGTATTGCTCAACAATGCAGATTCTTTTGAAGCTGCAGTCATCCAATGTGCCCAGCATTTGCACAATTGCTACCAGCAATTGAGCCAGCAAGTGTGTGAACCAAGTGCTTTGCACAGAGAAGCTTTGAAGTTTGCTGCTTTGTATGTCACCTTGAACCAAATTTCTGTCCAGCAAGGTCGACAACTTTTCAAGGTTACCCCAAAACTACATTTGTTCTTGGAACTGACATTTGACCCCAAAGCCTCCCCATCCACTGGGTGGACCTACAGAGATGAGGATTGGGGAGGGCAAATGTCAGAACTTGCTAGAAGCCCAGGAGGTAACCTCAGTTGCT